ACCGTTACAGATAATTATCCAAATGTTAAAAAGGAGAGCTGCAAATGTATATCAGATTACGCAAAGATTCTATTGAGGCATTTCTATTCACAATCGGAATATTTAATAAAACCTATCTTGACCAATTTTATGCATCAACACTATAGAGTTCGACTCGCCGCTGTTGAAGCAATAGGCGATGTGATTCAGTATGGCAATAGCAAGTCGATGGAAGAAGTGGCAACTCCTTTGGCACAGAGACTTTTTGACCAAAGTGGGATTGTCAGAAAGGGTACGTTTTTATATAGTAAACATTTAACATGATTTTATATAATTATATTGAAACTCTGCTCATATAATTGCATTAAATCTTAAAGCTGTAATTGAAGTCTCTGGCCATTGGTTGATAGAGCTACCTGACAGATATAGTTGGTGGCACAGACTTCTTCCCCTAATCATGACAGGATTCCACGATGAACTTGCGGAGATTCGTGTAAAAGCAGCTGAGATGTGGGACACCGCAGGAAATTTGTACTTACAGGAAAATGAAAACGATGAAAAGTTGAAGGATAAAATGGACTTTCTTACGGAAGAGCCAGAGCATTATCCTTCAGAGAGTAAATTAATTTTGAAAATCATAGTCAATCATTACAGATTAATTATCAAATTGAGAATCAAATTATATAAGATTGTTTTTAGTTTCTAGGCCAAATTTAGGATGTCGTGTGATTGCGCAACAGAATTTTTGCAAACTTATTAATGGTATCAGTGTTGAACTTGGAGATTGGTTACCAGATATACGTATGCGTTCTGCGCAATTACTCAGTATATTGATATTAAATGTTGAAGAAGATGTTACACAACATATTGAAAAGCTTTTGCCACCTATGTATCGGTAGGACTTACTTTTAATTATTCACTAGAAATTAGATAAAATTTAGATGACGTGTGTGTGTGAGAAAACAATTTCATTTACGAATTTATTTTTAATGACAAAAATATGTAAGTATCACTTTGTTTCGTTGTGGTCCAAAAAAAATGTTTAAATTTGTCGAATAGTGTAATTATTGAATTTTAATAGAAGTTGTTCCAAAATTTTTGTCACTTAAATATTTTCCTTTTAAAAATCATTAAAATAGTTGGTAAAATCTTATTTTCTATTTAAATAATCGTAACAATGTAACGACAATCGTGAAAATCAATTATCAAAAATTTAGAAAGATTATTCACGCTTTTAGAAAGACGAAAAAAATTCTATCTTTGACTAAAGTTAATAAATTAAAAAATTAATAAAATTATACTTAAAAAGATTAATAAAATAAAAAAATTAACTTATTTGAAAATAGCATTAAATTATTAACTTTTTAAACTTATTTTATATTATACACACACATACGTGCACACACTTAACTGCTAACTTCTTAAATAGTCACCATCTTACTCTGCAAAATTATGTTATAAGTGACAAAACTTATCAAGAAATCTAATTACGACTTGTTACAGTGCTTGCAATGACGAGGATAAGAGAGTCATTGATTGCGTGGAAACTGCGGCGCGATATCTGGGCTACTTCGTACAACCCAAAATTTACTGTCAGTTGGTGCTTCCCACTCTAGACGAATCCCCGACGATCGGACATTTACATGTTTTTGCAGCGATTATTAGCGGTAGCGAACGAAAGGCTCTATCGCAACAATTGGACAAGATAACGAGCTTTTTGCAGCAACCAGATATCTGTCAGAGTAAAAAGAGCAACTATCAACGTCAGATACTTTCCTGCTGTAATTCTCTTCTTGTAGTTTGTAAGGAGGTCCGAATACAATTGTTTCTTCGTTATACACACATCTATTACAATCATTTGTTTAAAACTTCTTTCTGGATTAATTCTTGGATCTAATAATGTGTTATAATATGCAGGATTGCAAAGCAGTAACACAAGCTTTATTCACTGTAATATTCACCATGTACGCGATGAGCGCGGAGCCTTCCATTCGCGAAGAAGCCGATAGGCTCTTGGAGATACTCGTCAACATAAATTCACTAAAGAATATCGACGATCTCTTCTGCAATTACATGAAACCATTGATAACATCAATTCACGATGATTGCGCCTCGTGGACGGTTTACAGCGCGGAATCGCAAATTTTCTACGCTTGTTTGAGCCGCAACGGAATCGCCATATCGCATAATATGGACCTTGTGTTACCCATCTTTAAAAAAACTATGAGCAAGGACGCCGATCCCGAGTTGAAGCTGCGGCATTTTATTCTACTTTCAGAATACTTCCTGAACAGTCAGAATTTATATTATTGTATCGAGGATCCGCATAGATTTGTGAGCACGATTATCGAGGAGTTGATTATACCTGGACTTATTTGGGCCGCCGGTAGAGCAGCTGAAGCCATTCGTACGGCCGCCGTTTGCTGCCTCTGCGCTATTCTACAAAACACAATAGTTAATCCCGACAAAAAAGACGAGATTAACAAAATGCAGTTGTCTATGAATGAGGAAAACAAGGATTCTAGAATACCTATGACGAAGCAGTTCCTATCCATCTTCGACAAGATCGTGCCTGTTTTAATTAGTCTGGTGGACGATAAAGCAAAGAAGACTCGACTGTATTCCATGCGCGCCATTCGTCTGTTAGTAAAAATTGGACAGAGATTGTCCTGTCTAGACGACGAACATGTACATCGCACGTATCCAGTGATACTGAAGAGACTCGATGATGGCTGCGACGATATTCGCTACGCTGCGGTGGAAGTGCTTGTGGACGTGTGGAGCGCCGTTTCTAAAGATTATGACACTGTCTTCAGTAAGAGTCACATTGATGCTCTGTACACGACAATGATTATTCACTTGGACGATCCGGAGTCTCGCTTCCAAGAGATAATGTTAGGTAATCATCAATAGTTTTGTTCTTTCTGTTAGAAATATGCAAATTAAATTTTTTTTACGCTAAGTAATTAGCATTATCTAAGGCGTATCGTGTAGATTGCCCGATTGGATTTATATAGCGTGTGTGCATGCATACGTGTATGTGTATATCTTTCTCTCCTCCCCCTTCCCGCGTGCATGGGTATATAAGATTATCAATATATGTAATTTATATTCGAATATCTTATTGTCAGATTGAAAATTTTCAAATAGTTCGTACATCTCTATTCTCTCGCGTTTTTCAAAATAATACAAATCATAATTTTTAATTCAATGTAATGCAACTCTTAATATATTTCAATATATACAATACATGTTTTACAATTAATACTGTTTTTTCAGACGCATTAAAGCGTGTTGCACAAATCTATCCTGAGCTACTGCATCAAAAATTGTATAGCTGTCGGCCGAATTTCAGGAACAAAGCAGGAGTAGACACACTTTTGGAATATTGCCAGAGTATATTTAAACAAGATTAAATCTTTTTTTCAAATAGACATTTTTGTAATCCGATAGATATGTGTTTTAACAAATATAAGTTATATGATCTTTCTAGTTATAAGTTTTTCTATCATACATGTTGAATCAGTTAAGCATATTGAACTGCTTATAAACATAACGCCATAAAGTATTCAGTCTGGTACGGCAAGTAGAAATAAATTTTTTTTTCCCTAAGTAGGATTGTCTTCAATTTATACAAATTATATACACAATTGAAATTAAGCTTTTATTCATACAAGTTTTAAACTTGCTTCAACTCAAGAATATCTTTGTACAATATTTGGTATCATAAAATATTATTGATTGTCTAGAGGCCATGAGGGTTTATGCAATTGTATTATGTCAAACGAAAAGGTTCTTTGAAATATATTGCAAAATTTATAAAAATGTGGTTCAGCTGTGGACTCTTGCTCAATATGATGCCAATTCTTTTTTTAAAAAATTAATTAAACTGTCGTATAATTAAATTGACGGTCATAAAATTATATTGTATATATACAGAGTATCCTAATAATTATTAACACCTGAAATATTTTAGAACCTATAAGGTCTAAAGAAATATTTGTATAACCAAAATTGCACTAATAATGGTGGTATGAAGGGATCTATCATATGGTGATAATAATTTTTGTCTAGGTGAAGGCGCTTCAGAAATTTCAAGGTCAACTTTTTATTTTTTTTTAAATGGGATTATATGATTTATTTTACGTAATACGATTCATCTCTAATTATTTTGCGTATAAAAGTATTGAGGTAAAAGTATCGAAAAATCAATAGTTTATGAGATATCTTATACTTTATTCGGGAGGATCCCATTTGCCTACAATCTCGATTGCACACACCATTCATGTCAGCTGGTGCCTAGTAATTTTTTACTGCTTTACCAATGAGAACATTTTATTTTTAAATTGGCCAATTAGCGACGCATGTGTGCAACATGCAATGTGTGCAATCGG